CCCTTCATGGCAACAGTATTCCTTGATGGCAGTGGCTGCTTTGTTCTAATGCGCTTTGTGACTTGGCTCCACTTTGTGAGCTGTATAAACCTGTATCAGTGTAATGTTGATACGAGTTTGATGATTTATCTGTGTGTTCTTTTTTGAGTTATAACTCTGTCTGGGAAGAGATTATGTGGTATATTGTTTTTTTTATTATATTACTGTTCTATTTTTTTCACAGCCTGAGGAGCAATAGAATTTAGAGGAATAACATTCCTTCATGGTTGCGACTACAGTCATGAATAAAAGTTTACATACACTTGTAAAGACCATGTATACTATGATGATCTTGAGTGTACAATGACTGTGTTCAAACACATGCGTCTTTGTCATAAAAAGGAATCATGCATGTTTGGTTCTTTTATAGACTTAGATGCAGCAACTGAGAGCTGTAGTTTGTTGTTGTGCTTGATTGTATTCTGGGAATTCACCCGACAGCTGTTGATACACATTGGGATGGCTCAACAACAATTCAACTTGGGCATTTTTCAGTATACCAACTGGGTTCCAGCGGAGAACACCAGAGCACTGGGGTCTCTTTGGATCATCACAATGGGCAGCAGACAGTGGAGGTGTCAAAGAGAGTTCAAGCAAATGTGAGGATACTGGGCTGGTGCCCCAAAACGACAGAAGCCAAGACTCCTTTAGGACCCGCAGGGGTGGACTGTATTTGTACCAACAACAACAAACACTGCCATCATGGACAGACACAGCTCTCCTGACCTAGAGTTTTTGGCTGTTAGATGTAAGCCCCTCTGCCTGCCCCGGGAGTTCTCTGCCTTTAATGGTATGGCCGTATACATTCCACCAGATGCTTATGCTCACACTGTACTCGGCCATACTTTAAGAGCAATTAACAAACACCAGACCACATATCCAGAAGGGGTTTTCAGAGTGGCTGGTGGCTTTAATCATGTTAACCTGTGCTTCCAAAGTTTGAACAACATGTACAATGCTCAACCAGAAGGGAAAACACACTGGACTCATTTCCCCAACATCACTGAAGCATACAGAGCCTGTCCACTGCTGCATCTGTTACGATGGTGTTTGTAGATTACAGCTCTGCCTTTAATACTATTGTCCCCAACAGGCTGGTCAGGAAACTACAAGACCTGGGTCTTAGTAACCAAGTGTGTCTGTGGATAAAGGACTTCCTCAGTAGTGTAGGATCAGCCAGCCATAATCAATTTCAAGATGGAGAAAAAGCAAGTTCCATCTCTTTTGAGTCACAGACTGGAAACAGGGTTCACTGTGATCAACAGAGCAGAGACAACAAGGCATCCCATCAGATGGTCAGCATTAAAACAAGACACCTTCCAGTTTGTGTTTGTGGTATCAGGAGGAGGCCACAAGTAAGCAGATCTTCTGAGGATCCCACAACACACACCTCCAGACATGAAGACACCAACAAAAAAGTAGATTGGGTCTAGATTAACCAAGAGACTGGCTTATGCCTCAGTCACTATCAGGCCCACAAAGAATCAAATGGCTGCCAGACATGCAATGACCAACTTCTGACCCTGCAGGAAGAGAGGGTCAGAATCCGATAGCAACATCAACAGGATTTCACCCCCACCAACAATGCCACAAGGAACACTGAACTGACATTAGGACACAGACAGATAATTATTCTACGACTTGGACTAAATCATTCTTTATGATTATTCATTTAAAGGAACTGCTGAACAGAGTGCTGTCAATAACCTTAATTTGATCACCATGCACTCTCCTTATATATTTTACTTATATTTTTAGGTGTCAAACTATATGTTTATTGTGTGATATCATATAAGTGGTTAGTCTTATTTTGATTAGCTGTGTATCAGGAATGCACACATGTAAACAAAGTGTCACCATATTACACTATTTTCAGATTAGATAAACCACAAAAGGTATCTGAAAATGAAACTCTATGAGGGACATCTGGACATCAGCCCTCCCCAACACAGGCTGTGCCAGACCTCCTCCTGACTTAATGACATGCAAAACCCCCCTTTAAAAGACCATACCTGAAAGCACCACATTGAGCCCTCCTTCCCAAGAGTTGTCTTGAGCCCACCTTCCTAAGAGTTGTCCTAAATCCTCCTTTCTAAGATTCATCCTTCCGGATTCCTTCTTCCAAAGAATCCATCTTGAGTTCTGCTCAAGTTCTTCAAGACCAGCTCGGAGGCTCCACTCTGTCCACCACTGTTCTGACTCACATCCACAGGCTGACCCGAAGACTACCCATCAGCAGAAGCTTCGCAGCAGCATCATGACATGCATGCAAGTAACTTTCAGTCACTGAAACTTGGTGCAACTCTAAATTCGATCATCCTTCCAAATTCCTCCAAATTGCTAATTAGCTACTATCAAATCAGTGGCTGCTTTCAGGTGCTTCCTCTCATGAAAATCATATTACACTGTAATATTGACCCCAATATTACGTTGCAATGTTGTGTTCTCTTCCTTCATTTCTCCCTCACTCACATTCACTGCATTGCTTGTTTTGTTGTTTGTCTTTAAGTGTGTTATTGTTGTGTCATAGTTAGTAGTTACTATTGTGTTTAATAAATGTTTGTAGTTTAATAAATGTACTTCACTATGAGTTCAATGCCTCCAGTGTTTTGCTGTTCACAGTTTGGTCACTCACTTGTATAGATGCCAGTTACCGAGCTTTTATAAGTAACCTTAAATTAAACTAATTTCCCAAATCATTCCTAAAGTTCTTTTCAACAGTGCAAACAAGAGGTGCTTCATATGCTGCATTGTTACAGTCCTCCGTTGGTCGAGTATCAGTTAGATTGTGTAATAATTCTGCATAAGCATTCAAAACCCATCTGAGCAGAAACATTTACCCTACAGCAGCCGCCCACAGAGAGTGAGACTCAGCCCTTGAATTCCCCTGAGCCTGACCTTTAGCGCAGGAGCACCACAGGGATGTGCGCCTAGTGCAGCCTCTACTACCTCCATACATGTGACTGCACACCTACTCACCTCACAAATACAATTTACAGATGACACAATGGTGTTGGGGTGAATGGCAATGAGACAACCTACGGAGACAAGGTCTGCAATCTAACAGGATGGTGTGCAGTAAACAACCTGTCGCTAAACATCAAAAAGGCAAAGAAGCTCCTCACTGACTTTAGACAGCAACAGGAGGAGCACCTACCACTCAGAATAGGAGAGGAGAAAGTTTTACAGTTTTGGGAATCTACATCACCTCAAGTGGACTGTAACTTCCACTGCTCTGGTTTACTGTAGGCCCATACATGAACTGAACTCCCACCCCCAGTCTCCCTACCTTCCCCTTACCACCATAAAAATCTTAACTTAGGCATTTGATTTGATTTGAATTGATTGATTTGATTATTATAGACCTTCAAGAAATATAAGAAAATCTGCTTGGTCAAAAATATACATACAAAAATACTAATATTTGGGGAACTAGGCACTTTTGTAACTGTCTACAAGGTTCTGGCAAGCTTCAGGTTGTATCTTTGACCACTCCTCTTCACAGGAATGGTACAGTTCAACTAAACTTGTTGGCTTTCTGACTTGTTTTTTAGCACAGTCCAAAGGTTATAAATGGTGGTAAAGTCAGGACTTTGGGGAGACCAGTCTATAATCTCAATTCCAGCCTGTTGCAGCCATTTCTTTACTACTTCCCTTGTGCTTGGAGTCATTGTCCTGTTGGAACACCCAAAGAACACCCCAGAAGTTTGGAAGACTCAATCTTTTAACTGATGATTTTAGGTTTTCCTGAAGAATATTCTTTCGTTATTCCATTTGCTTTTTATGAAATGTCAGTTCCACTGGCAGCAAAACAGCCCCAGAGCATAATATAACCCGCACCTTGCTTTAGGGTAGGTAGGGTGTTTGTGGGGTTTAACGCCTCAGGTTTCTCTTTCAAACATAATTTATTACTGTGGCCAAAGAGCTCAACTATTGTGTAATCTAACCACAGAACTTTCCTCCAGAAAGCCCTTTTTTTGGTCCATGTGATCAGCAGCAAGCTTCAGTCAAGCTCTAAGGTGTTTCTAGAGGAAGGGCTTCCTTCTTACAGCCCATAGCGATGTAAAACACACTTTACTGTGACACCTGTGTTGCAGCAGCTTCTCATTCATTGCAGACCTGCTTTTTGATGAATCTTAGTTGACTCTTGACCATCCTGACCATTTTTCTCGAAGCAGCAGGTTTTAGTTTGTGTTTTCTTCCTGATCATGGCAGTGACACAAGTATGCCTTGCACTGTATTCTTACGAATGATTGATTTTACAAATGATTTTGGAATTCGGTAGCTGATGTGCTTAAGTCAATGATTTGCTTTTTCAGACCTGTGCTGAGCTCCTTAGACTTTCCCACAGTAGCGTTTGTGGTTGAGTCTGGTGAGTGTATCAAATGGGTTCTATTTAAATTGTTTTAGGGAAGTCAGCAGTTCTAGTCAATCATAATCACTCACAAGAAGTTAAAAGCCATGCAAGAAGGAAGATGTGATTGACAGAGCTTTCTACATCACCAAAACTGATCATTCAAGTTGTTGTGTGTCTACTTTTGACTCAGCACATTTTGCTGTATTTCCAGATGACCTATAATAAATCTATACAAGAATAAAAACACACTATTGCACACATTTCACATATCAGTAATTACATCCTAAAAAATGAAGGGTTATAGGAATCACTGGAGTCATACATCAAGTGTATGTAAAGTTTTGTTCATGACTATATGTCCGTGTTGCTGTACTTGTTGCCTATACAGAACATGATGTACAGGTTCCATCACTGTATTGTATACAGTAGTTATCTTGCAGCCTAATGTTTAAACCAGGTCAAGTCCTGCATTCTGCTATAACCCATTATAGAAGGTTATCAGAGCAGCTGCAGGTGCCATGTCAAGATAAAATTCAATTCGCATGTGTGAATACATCCTATGCATTGTTAGCAGACAGTTAATAAGCATATGTCTGAGACTTACCTTCATGAATATAGACACTATGACCAGTCCATTGGGGCTTTTAGCAGCTTCTGTATAATTTGTGTACAGCTCATGATTGTAGTGGATCAGCTGAACCTGGAACATATAGAGATCACATGTGGATGGTAAAGAAAGTCATCAATCTGACATTATCAGCTTAAACATGTAAAAGTTAGTTTAGCGAAACAGTGATTGTGAAATAGAAACCTTCAGTTTGAGCACCCTTCTCAGGAATCTACAGTCACATTGTATAAACCTAAACCTAAATCCTATATCATGTCAGATGATTTAAAGGGTAAAATCAATGTGGGATCAAATTTTGGGTATGGATTCACTGTGGTAGTCAATGTAGTAGGAGGAGTTGATTTTGGGAACGCTTCAACTAAACTACCACTGAGCATGAGGTTACTGTTTCACTGGCACACATGCATTCCAACTGTTCAGTATTCCTGCCTTTTAATGATGCTTGGATGTGGGCAGGCATGGCTGCTCAACTTCCAACTCATAAAAATGGTAACTGCTGAAAATGGAGTATTTTAAAACCAAAGACTTGTCAGAGCCAGAAGCGATGAATCCATCTTGAATGTGTACTTACAATGAGTATGTACTTCAAAAGATGAAGCTGTATGCAGTTATGTTTTAATGTTCAGTTTAGGTAGAGAAATGGTGTGGCACTGGGGATGTTGCAATTTATGATCACAGCCTTAATCCCATCAGAGTGGCTCGAGCAGATTCCAGGTAAAACATCCAAGGTCTCTGTTCATAATAGTGCATTCCTAGGAACAGCTAAGACAATACACAGAACCCTCAAGCTTCCACGCTTCTGGTAGAAGACCACGCACACTGCACTTCCCATGCTGCAAAACTGCTCAGGAATGGCTTGAGGAACGCAACATACAGTCCAAGGCATTGCCCCAGCCTTCTAACTGTCAAACTCCTAATCAAGCATCCATGGGATGCACTGAAACAAGCCAGAGACATGGGAGTCCCTCCACAGCCTATAGGACCCAAAGGATCCATTGCAGACATCTTATGGCATATACCACAAGACACCACAAGACACTATGGCCCAATAGGTCAGAGCTGGTTTGTGGCTCATTGGCATAGATATTGTATATATCTACATTCTTTAGCACAGACACTGAGCTGTTGCCATTGATTGCAATCTTGTCAATGGTCACCGGGTTGGAGTGTAAAGGGAAGGGTCTAACCAGTCCATGATGTTTCATCAGATCAGCTCTAAAGTACTGCAACTGAACCATTTCAGAGCCTGTTTGTACCTGTTTCAAAGATGTCTGAAATTTCTCCTATCATAAACAGTAACATGATAAGTTGTACAAATGGAAATCACACACTCTCCCCTTTTGTCACACAGTTGTAGACAGAAAAACAGAGCTGACCACTTCCTGCACAGACTCAGATGCTTGTTGGATTCTCAATTTCAGAAAAAAAATAAAGAAGAAAAATTGTCTGACAAAGTCGACATCACTGAAATGCAGGAAGATGTGACAAGGGGTTTCTAACTGTCCACTAGTACAACATTTAAGGCGATGTTTAATTAAACTTTAGCCCTCCATGAAGAATCGCAGGCCCACACTAGGACTATGCACATATCTGAGTGGATGTCTTCAGTAGAACATGGTTGAACTTTAATCAGACTGCTCTGCATTTTGTTTTGCCAACTGCATGTTGCTGATGGATTACTTGTTAATGCTGCAGTGATCTTGGAGGAAAAAAATCAAGATCCCGGTGAAAAATTTCTTAAGCTGTAAAATTTTGTCTCAACCTCAGTGCACATTTTTGGCGTCTGATAAGCCTTCAGACACATGCATCCATTAGCTTTAAAGACTTCTAGACTTGTAATCCACAGTTTCAACCTTACCTGGAGCATATCACCCCCACCGCCCTAGTTCTTTAAATCATTTTAACACGTAGACATCCGAACATTGTGATAATTAGGAATTTCCCATTATCTGCACTCAACCAGACCACCAGAATAATGAAAAGGAGAAAAGTACAAGTAATTAAAAAAAAACAAAAAACTATAAAAATAGTAATTTGCGCTGTTACATTTTTTAAAAAAAACTGTACTTGTGATATACTTTATAAATTGTGGTCACCAAAGTGCAAAAAGGGTTTTGAAACAACAATTATTAATTCAAACTGACAAGGGTATCAAAGGAAAAATACATATTGGAGCTGTGGAGACAAATACAACCCGTCTAAATGGCAGCGCAAGTTCAACATGCAGGGAGACTTTTTTAAAAATCATTTTCTATCTCTGACAACTAAATGCAAAACAATCTTATTCTATATAACTGCACTGCTGTCCTGCCTTCTAAATCGTTGTTAAAAAAAGCAATACTTTACCACTCTTCATTACCAAAATCAGCAAAAAGCCTGACCCAAAGCCTAATATTGATTGTCTTTTTGTGGTAGCACTTCAGTATTTTATACACAATGACCTGCTGTGACTATAAAGACAGTCAAAGACTTATTTCAAACACAAAGGAGAGATAATGATTTTCAGATTTTTCCCAAAGGCTCTAAACCTTTCTTTCCTCACCTTCATAAACTTCTCACCCTCCCTTATTTTCAAAGAGTTTGGCATGTACTGTACATTAGAATAAAGATAAGCAAATGCAAGAGGAGAGTAATTATGAATGTTCGGTTAGAGGCATGCTGAGCGACAGAATGTCTATAAATGTAATCAAGGTGAGAGAGGAAGTGATTAGGGCCCTCGTTGATCTAATTAGATTTATAGGTGAGAGCGGCAGAGGCGGCCAAAAGTACTCATTCACATTTCCTCAATGACAAATTATACAAAGTTTGCTGCTGATGAGCAATAAAAGACCAGCGTGGGCCATAATAAAGTGAGAATACTGGCCAAATGAAGAATTAAAAAAAAAAAAAAAAAGAGGAAGATGCAGAGCACCACAAGGAGAAAATAGAGGCTGTAATGTCTGTACACAGAGATAGTGGAAGAAAGAGCAGTAGAGAGGAGCTACTGCAGACCTGTAAGCCTGCAACACTACATCATTCATCAGCCTCCCTGTCTAAAAGCACCAACTACTAGTAACAATTCCATCCATCTAACAGGTCCAGTCTATTCAGATTAATCAGCAACACTGCATTTTGAATGTCTGCTGAACAGAGGCAGACAGATTATGCAGCAGAGTGTGACAGATGTGACAGAGTTGGTTAAAATTAGAACTGGGGTTTAGCAGCATTATACTACTGAGTACTTAGTAGCACCAACATGTCAATTTACTTTCCTGAAAACATTAGAGCTTTGAATGGGGGGGCTAACTAATACTCACCAAAAACAAAAATGTATCTGGCAGACTGAAGCAACCTACTTATTGTTACCACATTTTCAGGTGCCATTGCTTGAAATACTGGGGCCACTAATTCAGCTCTTCATTTCAGAGTTCAAGTGATTTGTTAAGGCAACAAAGACTGAAAGTCTACCTAAAGATCTGACTCCAAAACAGACTGGCACAGACCATCTGGGATGTGTGTAACCCATGTATACAGTCCTCTTGGTCATGAATTTGTGCCTTCACTTGGTCTCACTTAGCAAATGGAGCAGCTTAAACCGTAGAATTCTACTTTACAAATTATGGCAGATAGGCACAGGATGTAGATCACAGACTACCCCCCAATATTAGATCACATATACCTGTAGGCCAGGTGCTGCATCATCTGCTGCCATGAAATTAGCTAATAAAAACAGGCTTCTTCATCATTCATCAATACCGGGGATTCTGTGCGTAGGTGAAACAAATTAATAAGCGAGAGAAGGCATCATAAATCCTCCAGTTGCTAATGTATTAAAAGGTTCAGTGGAGTTTAAAACACACTCCTGTGAAAACAATGCTGAAGAGAGTGTGAAGGGTCACTATTACTTGGCTGGCCAGTGCTGTCTGGAATGTGTGTGTGAAGGGGTCACGACAGCATCTTTATAGCATGATGGGTGGCCTGGTCCCTGGGGGATAGGGAAATATGAAGACAGCAAGTCGATAGTGGAGGACAGGTGTTCAGCGCTAACTGTTTAAAAGCACTGGGCTAGAAATTGCGCTTTCCATCTTAGCTTCCATTCATGCGTCCCCCCGCCTCCTTCAGATTAACTGGAGCATAGATCTGTAAAACTAACAAACAGACAAGGCCTGCTACCACACACACCAATCACACTCTGATTATGCCGTGCTACCTCATGACAGAACTATAAATCATCATCTTTCCACTCATCAATTATTCTGATGCATGTCATACTACATCGGTAATTTAACAAAACCCCAAATTTAGTTTGCTTTCTTTATTTATTTCTGCGTCTGTCTTCAGAACCAGCCACACAGTGATGCTCTGATGTGATTTTAATCCAAGATCCTCCACATTTTATATGTCGCTGAGCAGATATGGGGGTGAAATGCTCCATTTAATAGTAATTAATGATAATTAGAGTAAGAAAAAATAAAATAGAACACGCCTCCTCATCATCAGCTCTGTCGCTGATAATCTGGCGCAGCCATATTAGTTCAATTTGATTTTCCATGTGCGTGACTGTGTTTGGAAGAGGACATGTGAGGAGTGTTTCTATTGGGTTTAATTTAATGGGGGTTTGAAATGTTTGGAACAGCTGCCTGTGGCGAATCCAATATTTGATTTAAATAAAGCTGAATTATCTGTTAAGCAACAAGAGGCATCTCCTTTGGTCTGTAGGGCTAACTGTGTTGAAATTATTAGACACAATCCTAATCTGTTTACACAAATATCATGTTCAAATACAGGAGAGAAACAACAGCAACACGCCGAGCCTTACCTCGGACTGTGTTATCTCTCACACTGGGTTCATGCATGTAACTGGCATGTGTCTGTTGCTGTCTCTCAGTATGTATGTATAATGTTTGCAGACTTGTTGTTTTTATGCATCCTGACTTTCTACAGTCTGGCTAACATCTTTAAAGAATGTCTGTGATGTGTTTAGTCTTGCTGATCGGACATAAAACCGCAGTGAAATCTACACAATACAAGTAAAATTGAACTGAAAAGCACCAAGGTGAGGCAAACAGCCGCAGCAAAGGGGTCAGATGTGA